GTAAATTGAATTTATTTAAGAATTGCTGAATTTGTATCGCTGCAGCGTGATCAAGACACTACCCAAAAAGATTAAAATATTTTTATACTTCAACTAAATCATCGAATAGAATACCAGCAACTCCAAATGCACTTAAAGATCGCATTATCGACAGGCATATTCATTTTATATTCCCTATCCTGTGCAACACCAAGGTATGTCGTTGTTTAAAAGTAGTCTGAATAGCTATAACACATGAGAGATGAGCTAGTAATTCGATACGGTATGTGAGCAACGTATCCCGTGCATTACACCTGGTAAAAAGAGAATTTAGAAGGGATTGTCTGTGTGTTGTGGCACTGGAATGATGATTGAACAGATTTGTTCAAATAAAAATTCGTAATTTACACTTCATTTATGAGCCATGATTGTTGTTTAATGATCGTATTTCCGTAGCTTGGTAGATATAGACCAGTTTTCTTGGCCACGACTCGTTATTTTACCTTCTCATACCACAATATCTGAACATCACACTTTTTTGGTCTGTAAGGAACGATCGTAGTTACTGTTCTGATTCACGTGAATTTGATTTTTTTCTACTGCCGTTGGCCTTACTGGCATGTTTCGTTACGAACTTGGGCTAGGGCAGATAATCCATCCGCTGCGCTTTTCTTTGATACGTATGCACCACAGTTTGTTCAGGCATAGCTATTTTTATCCGATCAACTTCCTGCTGAGTTTAAACCATGTCTTTCTTTGCTTACAGTAACAAATTATGGATTAGTTGTTTTTGAAGTGTACCGTGTTTATACTTGTCTGGTATGGTACAGTGTGAAACCGAAAATGATACGATTTAGCATTTATCCTCTCATGATGAATATAAAATCAACTTCTATGTTCACAAAATCTTAGAGTTTAGTTCCTTGCAATTTTGTTATATCGAGAGCATACTTGTTTACTTCTACATTACTTTCTCATCCTCAGCACAATACTTTCTTATCGTTACCGATCTATTTGACATATTCTCTCTGGTCAGTCATTCATCCTCTCCTATCAGCATGCCACAAACTAATCTAGCCCTTGCTTCTCATACACTGCCCCTACTCCCATTCATCCACTAAAACAAATTCGCAATTTGCCACCCCATGTTTACTGACCAACACAACACATCCTCTCCCCATAGCCACATATCCACTTTGGGCCTAGAAAACTTGGAACCAACAGATGCAAAAGACGCTGTTTTGGGCCAAAGGAACGCTCGCAAGGCGGCTGGGTTGGTGATACACATGTTGCGCACCAACAAGATGTCTGGACGTGCGGTCCTTCTTCTGGGACCGAGCACTTGTGGCAAGACGGCTCTGGCAATGGCGATGTCCAAGGAAATACTGTCCAATTTTGTACACCTCAGCGGATGTGAACTAAGTGTTGAGAGCTTGATGATGCATGTGCGACGTGCCATTCGTATCAAGCTCAGAGAGCTGAAGAAGATCTACGAGGGTGAGATAACGAGCATACGCCTAAAAAACTTTCAATTTGAGATTGATTTAAAATCGTGTAAAGGAAGCACAACAGTGAAGATAGGCAAGTCCATGTATGAGAGCGTGAGAGATGAGGAGCTTAGTATCGGTGACGTGGTGTATATCGAGCCGATGTGTGGCATTGTGAAGAAGATTGGACGATCTGAGAATGCGTTTGAGTATGATATTGAGTGTGGAAGGAAAGTTCCACTGTCTAAGAAAGACGTGCTGAGGAGGAAAATCGTTACGCAAGTGCTGTCGTTACATGACATTGATGTGGCGGAGGAGACGAGTGACCAGTTGAAGAACACCGTGCGACATATGCTCGGAAAAAACGGCGTAAAGCTGAGCACGATGCAGGATACGAATGAGATTGTGAACGCATATGTTGAGAATGGTATGGGTGAGGTACAGCCAGGCATACTTTTTATAGATGAGTGCCATCTATTGAGCAAGCAGGTGCTGTTCCAGATCATCAAGGTGATCGAGGATGATTTGTCTCCGCTGGTCCTGCTTGCAACAAATAATAAGCAATTCCTGGAACGGGAAGACGCACAGGATCTTTTCAACCGGCTGTTTGTAATTAAAATGGAGAAGGACCTGTCGATAATCCCTGATATTTTGAAGATGAGGGCCGATAAGTGCAAATTATCGCTACATGAGAGCGCGTTCTGCAAATTGGCAGCGATAGGACGGGAGAGGGGCCTTAGAAGGGCACTTAATCTTTTGTCTTTGATGAAAGAGACTGATAAGGAAGTAACAGAGAACGATGTTCGTGTTTTGGATGAGTTGTTTGATTAATACGCCTTATATTTGGTATTAAATTAAAAATTTCGTTCCTACATCGTTACAAATGATTTGATTGGTGAACGATATGAGTATTTGTTCAGGATTATAGTTGTTATTTGTTCTGGTCATCAGCAAATGTTTTATCTCTTGAGATCGGATACTTTCACTAGAAATCGCATATTTATCACTTTCTAATCGAAATTTATCACCTGTGCCGTAAAAATAACTTGCAGTAGCCTTTCTGCGGATATTACACCGCCCCGATCGGTCCACGCATCCTTTTGGTACAATTTGATAAGTTTTTAACCGTAGCCGGTCAAACAAGAAGGTGCAGCGGTGCATTGCACGATCAAATCTGTTTTTTAGTACAAGTGCGTTTGTTTGTCTCTTCATATGCTAAAATTCAAACAACACATTTTTCTGTTCCGCTGAGACCAACCGTGGTCATTGGCCTGATCAAATCTGGTGCAAAATGCAAACAGAGACTCGCCTTAATTGATAACGAATTCATTATTCGTATCTATGCTCCATGCAAACGTAATAATGTAGCAGAGAAGTCTCCACACTATAAAATAAATATAAATTTACTTACTCCACGATTTATCGGCACCTACCCATCGCGTTACGCAGAGATAAACTTCTGGTAGTTCCCCTTTCATATCATGACAAGTCTTCTGGTATGTAAAAACTAGTCGGTGTTAATTTAGGTCTGCTATGTATGCTAAGCCACAAAAAGAACGGTCAAGCGCGAAATATCGCAATTAAACAAAAAATAAACAAAATTCAATGAAAATCCTTCGGTGTCATAGCAAAACAAGCCATAGCTCAATAAAAATACTCACATCGTACATCCAATGGTTTTCAGCGCATCATTGACCAAACATTGGATACGCTAACACTCACAAATGCTTTCATAATCAGGAATTACGGTGCATGGCCGGCCACCACATTCTGTTCTCATCCCTACTCTTCATCATTATAAGGCAGGCATCTCCTTACCTTTTTGTATGCTCTAGTTATTGCGCTTTTCCCTTTCGTGCTCACGCTCTTCTCCCATCCATACACGCCCATTCCATCATCGCAGTCGCTCTTCAACAACTTGTTATCGACTAGGAACTGCACGCTCTCCTCGATCCGTCCCTCATTCAAATTGGCAATATACGCTTTGATCAGCAACGGCATGTCATAGAAGTAGAACTCCGTAGGATCGCATTTGCTAAGAATGTGAAAGTGAAAGGTTTGTATTACCCTATGGTGTTTGTTGCTTTTGCTTGTATTACCGAGTACCTTTGGGAATTCTATCCGCTTGTTTATTTTTAGGTTCTGTGCGGGGATTAAAGCACCGAACAACGCGTAGTGATTGAGCAGGGACCAATCGTTGCTGCCCATCTTCCTTAAGTACGTATCGGCTAGGCTTATGCTATCTGATGCATGTGCATACGTGCACATCTTGGTACGTATCACGTTATCATCAAGCTCATACACATTTATGCGATGATTTTTCGGCCTTTTATTGTGTTTATGCGCATTATTACATTCGTTATCCTCTAATCCATTGTCAGGAGCATTCTCCAGTTCTGCCTTACCCGCTTTATTTCCAGGTTCTCTGTCTCGCATATCTGAGCGCAAATAATTCTCGTACACCATCAAAGGCATCATCTCATAGTCCGAAAAAAACGTTTCCATTTTTTCGCCCACTCTGCCCCTTCCAAACAACGCCAGTACCTCGTCAAACAAATTCCTGCTCACCACTTTCTTGTACATCACGCTGCCTTGCAAGCAATTAAGAATGTACCGCATGTCATTGTTCGCCATACCACACACCTCCACAATCTCCTTGTCCTTTACGTCTTTGCCCTCTTCTCTCACGATGTCTCTCACCCGTCCAAGAATTTGCCTCGTCTCCAATTTCCTGAACGTCACCTCCTCGCACACATTCACAAGCGGCCGCACAGCGTATTTATCGTTGCATATGCATATCACGGGCATCCGAGCATCCCTAATTATTTGCACCAGCTCGGCTATACCGCCTCTATCACCCGTCATACCATCGCACTCGTCCATCACCAACACTCTACGCCTACCCGATATGCACCCACAGTTCACGAACTGCCTGACACGTTCGGTCAAACTGCTCTTGTTGCGCACATCGCTTGCGTTAAACTCTGTCATCTCGTAGTTTGTGCTCTTACATGCCAGTTTGACACTCAGCGATTTCCCTACACCAGGAGGACCTGATATTAGCAATGCCTTACCTTTCCTGTAGTGCTCAAGGAAATTCAAAACATGGTCCTTCGCTGTTTTATTGCCCAATACTTCATCCAAAATGCGCGGTTCGTATTTAACGGTCCACAACATACCGTAATGTGGCTTGCCATCAGCAAGAGAAGGAGTTTTCACGCCTTGTGTTCTCTCATCATTCTTAGTGGGCAGTTCGCCTGTTCTTGCCAATTTATTTTTCACGTTCATTTTTTCTCCCTTCTTACCGATTCGATCCTCAGTCCGTTCTATATCGTTCGTATTTTTGGTTTTACTCCTTAAATTCTTACCTACTGCACCACTCCCCATTCCCTTCTTCCTACCCGCCACATCACCTCTCTCAGCAACACTCCCCATTCCCTTCTCCTTATCCGTTAAATCCCCCTCGTCATTCACCATCCTCATAAATTCGTTCTCCCCAATAATCTTACACCCGATCTCTTCCGCCTTTCTCATTTTAACCTTTCCTCCGTCTTCCCCTACGACCAAATAATTCGTCAGTCCGCTCACCTGGTGCGTTACCTTACCGCCTGACATCAGCACCAAATTGGTGAAATATTCCCTGTCCTTCGATAGTTCACCCGTGAACACGAATCGTTTGTCTTTTATCGGCATCTTCTTTTTAGGGGATAGAATTGGTAAAGCGTTAAACGAGAGGTGAGCAGCGGGGTTGTGTAAGTATGCTGAGCTACTCATTAATGCAGCATCTTTTAACACCACAGGTATCGCCCTACGTATTAACACATGTTAAGACCAAGGTTACGTGTTGAATGGCACGTACGTATTTTATTTACCTTTTCCGTGTAACAAGAAACACCATTATTACCGAAAGTTGTGTACCGGACCGGTATTTCTCAAAATATCCATCTCAAATTGTCATTTATCCATATTACGTACGATCATGCACAGGTAACCGTAATCTACACCCCGGTGTAAGTACCGGCATTTTACCATTCGCGACTTGATCATCTTTCACTTCGACCGTGACTCAATTTACCTTTATTTATACTTCGTGGTTGCCTTCCATTTTCTTAACTCTCTCTTCTACTGGTCTGATCCATTATTGCATCCCACGATTTTCATCGCAAATACGTTCCTACAACGAGCACATCAGATCGTGTGCATGTCTCATCGCTTTCAAGTTTCTTTTCAACCTTTCCCGCAGCTCTTCAATACTCCCATCCTCCTCACACAGTTTTTCAATCCCTTCCGTCTCATACACCGCCCTGAACAGGTGTTCCTGCATTTGCTGTGCACTCTTCATCACAAGGTTGCACATGATGGCCTTGGGCACCTGATCCAGCAGAATCTTCCTGTTCACATCAAAGTATGACACCACAAGCGACTTGACCAGGTTTATTTCTGCGCCTTCGCTGTCCGATATCTCCTTATCCAACCGGAGCACGTTCGGCAGCTTGTCAAACGCCTTTACGTTAGGTGCCTTCTCCATCGGTTTGCTCTCACCGATCTTGGACAGCTCATCCAGCCGCACGAAATCAGGGTGCCGTGTGCTGATGTACTCCATGTTCCATTCCAGCAAGGCACCCACCAGCATGGTGGTATTTTCGCTATTTCTCTTGAACAGGTCAACAAGTGCACATGATATCTTGTCATTAAGTCGTGCAAACCGCGTGTTTACCACGCTGTGCATCATCCGCACCATTTCTGTAAAAATTACGGTCACCAGTTTGAGTACGTGTGGCTTGAACAACGCGATGCTTTGCTTTGCAAGCATTTCAAATGCACGCTGGGAAAAAAACAGCGTGCTGGACGAGCCCGATGCGTTAAGCATGACCGTGCGGACGTGGTCGTTGCGCATGTTGTGCAACGCGTTCAGATTGTTTATGAACGCGGCGAATGATTGGTGCATGGTGTACGATAGGCGAGCACCGCCACACAGCTCTTCACCGTGCTCTGCTGTGCCTGAGAGCAACTCCGCGAATTTTTTTGTGATCTCGTTGATCGTGCGCAGCACGTGTTCCTTGGGCGTAAGGTCAAATACACCGAGTTCATCGAGCTCGGCCTGTGTGCGTGCGATGAGCGCGTTCACACGCTCCTGCAGTTCAGGCAGAGTATGCCTAATGTGCTCATACAGAATGCTCGTGAGCTTTGTGCGGAGATAGGCGGTGCCACAGTATGCTTTGTTGCGGCGATATGCCCGGTGCGTTTCGAAAAAACGCTGTTCATCCACAACCGCGTCGCTGATCGATTTTTTTTGCTTTACGTCCTTTTGACCGCGGTTAACCACGGGTATAAAACCGAGTTTGAGGCTAAGCACACGTCCCGCAAGCACGTCAACAACATCTGTGCCTACATCCATCAGGTCTACCTTTGTGAGCACACCCAACGTGCGCTCATATCCGGGATCGACCGTCTTCGCAAGTTGCAACGCATCCGAGCTTGCTATATCACTCGTTGCCGCACTCACCGCGATAATAATGGCATTCTTGTTCACAATGTACCGCTTGCAGATCTCCTCTACCCTTGTCACGATGTTCTTTGGCTGGTCGTTTGTGGGCACCTTAACCAGCCCGGGCAGATCAACGAGTGTGAGCGTCATCACGTGTGGGGAGTACATCTTAAGTGTTATCGGCACATGCGAAACGTCATGTTTGTTCTTAATGAGCCGTGCGGTCTCCGCCAGTATTTCCTGCCGGACCAGCTCGTAATCTGTGAACGTGCTGTCGCTGTGATTAAAGCGCACGTACTCATCTTTCGAGTATATGAGCTGCAAAATAAGCGGTCTGCGTGTTACTATGCCCACACCACGCGGAAGAAAATCATTGCCCACGATGTTTTCGAGCACAGAGCTTTTTCCGCAGCTCTGACCGCCTACTACCACAATTTGAGGAAGGTCTATCATGTTAGTAATGCCCGATTCCGTGCAAATGTCCTGCAACGTGTTTATACGTTCTATGAGGAGGGCCATTGGATTTGAAGTACTCATTGTTTTGTTTGGTGTTCCTGTTTATAAATTGGATGATTGATGTGAAACATGGTGTAGCACTGATGGAAATAGCTTGCACAGAGGAATAGAGTGACAGCGAAATAGAGTGTGTTATTGTGTATGGAATGATAAGCCGATTGATATTTAGATGGCTATAATGTACAAAGGCATAAGTTAGCAATGTCAGAAAGATTGAAAAGACTCGAAAATCGTACGTGAAAGCAAGTATTAATTGCGATACACCCGTTTTCTTCACTAATACTTGTTTATTTATCGCCTCATACAACAACACCGAGATAAACATACTTTTCAGATTTGTAGGGATCGTTCACAGTGCCATAAGAAAGGAAAGGGCCATTAAAAGTGGTGTAGAAGGGCGTGCCTAGCCATAAACTGTTCAAAACAATCTTGTCGTGTCAACGTGGAATAAGCTATTTTCATGGCGTACACAAACACCTTGTAGAACGAATGCATCTACCAACACCATTTTCTTCGCTAGGCCCTTATCATCCATAAAAGCTCCTTTTCTACTAAAAGCAATACCATTCATACGATAGTACAAATCTTTTATGTCGTCCTTTACTCCTCATCATTCACTTTGGTCTGCACCAAGTCCTTCATTACAAAATGGTAGATTTTGTAGAACTTTAGTATCGCACCAGCAGCTACACGATCATTTACACCGCTGATACCTTTCATGATCTCCTTCTTCAGGTCATCACACCCAGTCTTAACCACGTGTTTC